CCTATGGACAGAAATTTAGGTTTCTCAAACTGAAGAATTTTCCTGACTACAATGTAGGCTAGTTTTTTTCTGAGTGGTTTTGGATGTCATTTAGGAGGCTCTGCAGACTCATAATAAGTTCAGCCCCGACTAGGACAACCTAGAAGGACCTTATGACTTACAGAGAATCCTTTATGCTTTGGACTCTGTACTGGATATCTTAATGTGAAAGTAGCAAACTGTTTTGGCAAGGGTTTATTTTAATGTTTTATACCTCACTTTGTATTAATAATGAAAATTACATCATGATCCTGATACATTGGGGGCCTTTAAGCTTTATTTTTCTCTACTAAATCTGGGCATTTTTGAAGCTAGCAAGGGGTAAGTATAATGGGATCTTCATTGTTTTACACCTTTCAAGTCATTTTTGTTACTTGAAAGCCATAAAGTATTGCAGAGTATAATTTTTAAAAACTGTTCTACTGTAAAGTTACAAGACAACAAGCACTTATTAAGTGCTTACTCTATGCTAGGCATTGTGCTAAGTGCTTGGGATGTAAATATAAGCAAAAATAAAGATAGTCCTTTCCCTCAAAGAACTTACATTCTAATAGGGGAAGATTACATGCAAAAAGGAAGATGAAAAATAGGGGTATGGTGTTGAAATCTAGAAAATTGGAAGCAGAATCAGAAGGGGAATGAAGAATGGTTGGCCTGGCTCCTTCCCCAAAATAAAGGCCCTAGGGAGCCTCACCAAAGGGAGGATGGGACTGGTGTGACAGGAAAATGAAGGCAGATGCTTGTTTCAGGGTGAGGAGGCCTCAGGAGCTGAACAAGGTTCCATGGTGTCAGGTCACTTCAACAAGCATTTATTAAGCTATATACCAAGGCCCTTGTCTAAGAGCTACAGATTGAAAGGCAAAAACCAGTTCTTTCTCTCAGAATGCTCACAGTTCAGTGGAGAAGACAACATAGAAACAAGTATGTACAAATTAGATATATATGTATATACAGGATAAATTGGAGGTTATCTCAAAGGGAACGCACTAATGTTGAGGAATGGGAAAAACTTCTTGACGAAGGTAGGAATTTAGCTTAGACTTGAAGGAAATCAGGGAAGCTAATAGGTAGAGATAAGGAGTGTAGAAAGTTTCAGGCATGGGAGACAACCAGTGAAAATGACTGGAGTTGGAGATGGGAATGTCTTATTCAGGGAAAAGCAAGGATGCCAGTGCCACTGGATCTCAAAGTATGTAGAGGAGAATATGGTGTAAGAAGACAAGACAAGTAGGAAGTTGCCAGGTTATGAAAAACTTCGCCAGAGGAATTTATAATTGATCCTGGGGCTATATGAAGCTGATTGATTGTGTATGTATGTGTTGGGAGTAATATTGGTTGTGCTGACGTGGTTAGATCTGTGCTTTAGAAACATCAATTTGACATAGGAGTAGAGGAAGGATTGGGAGAGATTTGAGACTGAGACCAACCACAGGTTAATTGCAGTAGTCCAGACATTAATGATAAAAGATCTAGACTAGGGTAGTGGCAATCTCAGAAGAGTGAAGGGGGAGTATATAAGAAATATCAAGAAAGTAGGATCAATAAGGCTTGGAAACAGATTCACCATGAGGAGTGAGAGATGCAATAATGAGGATAACGTCGAACTTGTGACCCTGTGTGTCTGGGAGGGTGATGGTACCTTTAACATTAATAGAGAAGTTCAGAAGATGGAAGGGTTTGCTACATTAGCTGCAGTTATTTTCGTTGTGACTCTTTTGCAAAAGCTTATCATAAATGCTGTGGTAACAGTGCACACAGAACCTCATCTTGAATAGCTAGAGATGTAGGTTCAGATCCTGAGTCTGCCAGCTCTTGGCCTCAGTTCTTTCATATGTGAAGTGAAATAATTGACCTAGATAATCTCTAATATCACTTCTTAAGTCTGTGATCCTATGAACAAGTACCTCACAGAATGATACTATTTCTTGCCTTTGTCCCCATGATAACTCTTCTAACTTTTTTATTGCCCTCTTTGAGGAGAACCTATGAGTTATTCCTCCCTTTAGCTACAGTTTATTTTTGTCTTCTAGTTTTATTTTTGCTAAGAATGTCTAGATTGAGTATACACTAACTTTGATAGTAATTCAATTGGCTATTGAACAAGAACCTCACATTTAAAGTACATATAGCTAAGTTAATGTTTATAGATGATTAAAGAACTATGTGATTGTTAGCACTCTGTACCCCCACTTCTGTTACTTTGCCATCATCATTTAAAAAAATAGAGGAGGACACAAAGGCCATTTTGCATTTTTCTTTTTATCATGGGTTGCCAGACCCAGAAAGCTTGTCACTAATTGGCCAAGTAGGTGATGAGCCTCTCAGTGTTTTTGTAGGTTGTCCTACTATATTCAAAGTCTTTCCAATATGTCATGGTGTGCCAGAGCTTGCACTTTGCTCCCATAGTTTTCTAGAATTCAAGATTACCTCCAAGATGAACAGCAGAAGCAGGACTTTATGTAAGCTCAGTTAGATAATGTAAATTACCAAGATCCCATCAAGCTGTGGTGTTGTTCATAGACAAAAGGGAGGTTGGGCAGAGATTCAGATTTAAATGAATGGTATTATGAATTCACTTGGATAAACCAAGTCTCTCCTTCTTGTAGACAGTGAGATAGAGTTGTCTAGCAGGCATTTGTAGATGGAGTACCTTAGAGGAGCATTAGAATTTACAGAGACTTAAGAGTTATCTGTGTAGAAATGATAATTCAACCTATAGGAGCAGATGGGATTGCCAGAATTGCCAGAGGGACAAAGAAGATGGCCTGGAATATTTCTTTGGAATATTCCTACCCTTAGTGGGTAGGAAGAAAATAATCAATTATCAAAGGAGAAGGAGTCATCAGACTGGTAGAAAGAGAATTATTCTCTTTTGTATATATGTTCAAAATGTAAAGTACTTTATCCTGGTTTAGAAAAGAATATAATCTTGTCAATTCATTTAAATACCATAAGTACTTTTGAGAAACTATGAAATTCTAATAATATGCAAAATGTAAGCATGATCCCTAGTTTCAAAATGTTGTTGAGAAAACAAGAAATAGATATTGTGAAACAATTTAAAACTGTATAAGAAAGTATTCATTAAAGTGATAAACTTCATTTAACAATGTTCTAAGCTTCATTGGACCGAATAATAAAATACTGTTTTTGTAGTGACTAACACAAAATTCGTTGGGTAAAACTTCTTGTTAAATTCTAGTGTTCTTACTTTGCAGAAGTTGTAATAGTCATTATAGACATTTTACTGTTTTTAGTTTTCATGGTCAACCTAGATGAATCTGCTGGGGCTCATAATTTCAAAAAAATTTGAAGTTCATATTTAATCAAATGGTTTCTTACATGTGAAATGAGCATTCATCGAATATGTAAAGATCTCCTGTATATGATGCAAAAGTTGTAAATATAGGAAAATAAATTAACATACTATTTCATTCATAATTTTGAATTTAAGGAATTTCTTCAGGAAAACATGTAATTAGCATAATTTTAGCTACTATATATCCAGTTTCTGTGTCAAGATTGTTATCTGTTCTTTAAACCAGTAGTGTCAAACTCAAATAGAAATAGATCTCTGCAGACTACATACTGACTTAGAAAACCATGAGTTAGCATTACCTCAGTTTTATTGTATTTTTATGTATTTTTTTAGACATTTCCTAATTACAGTATAAGCTGATTTTGGCCTTTCTCAGGAGTTTTGCTGTCATTTGGGAGAGTTTGACATCTTTAAGCAGCTGTAGATATTTGTTAAATACTGTTTTGATCAGATATCTTTAGTATATTGATTTGTGATCAGTAAATGTTTTTCTTTCTCATTTTTACATTCTTAGAAGATTATATGGAATGTTGTTATTCACTTTACAGTGAATTTTAGCAGGCATTGCTTGTTGATATGAATTTTTTATAATTAGCATGTAGACTAATAATTGAAGCAAGGCATTCCTCAATATGTGACTTTCATAATAGTTTAACAAAAATTTAATTGCTTAAGAATTAACGCTCTTATTCTAATTATCTTTTTCTGGTTTATGCAAACCAGATTTGGAGAATTAAATTGCCACCTTTATTTAGATCAATATGGAATATGATATTTAACTCTCTCATCTCTTGTAACCTGCTCTACATCCTCTTACTTACCACCTACCTGCCCCTGCCAGAGACCAGTCCTTGGTAGAACTTCAGCCTTGGGCCTTCACTTTCAAGGAACACTATTTCTGGAAAGTCTTCCTTATAATTCGCTTCACTTCCTCTTCTCTGGCCCCACCTTATAACTTCCTCACTACTCAAATCCTTAATCCCTACTTTATTCACTCTTCTCTCCTCTCCCTCTACTTCTGAAACCATTAACCATTGAACCATGATTAAATCATGTGTGTGTGTGTGTGTATGTGGGGGGGGGGTTTCACCAAGGAGAACTTAAGCTGTCTTTTACCTTCTAAGAAATGATTACTTATCGATCCTTGGTAGTAGGTGGTATAAAGCGATGAACTTCTACTTTTTACATTTTTAGAGAAGACTTTTGACTGTATTCTTTTATTCCTCTTCTGGCTCTTTAAAAAAAATGGCTATTGCTACAATCTGCCAAAGAAATGTAATACTTTTTTATTTCTAAGCCATAAGCATCATCTCTTAAAAAATTTCACCTCATAATTATATTCCCTACTGTTTCTTCATGGCAGAGGTAGTGAATTAACATTTGATGATATTTTTCACATTTTATTTGTATAGTATGTAGTCTATATGTACTTACATATGCCATTGTATTTATGTACTATTTACATGGAATTCCATATCTATACAGTAGAGATAAATATTCTTGTGTATTTTTTATAAATATATTAAATATATTAAAACTCATGTAGAAATGTTTGATCATATTATGACATATTTCCTTTCATTGTTAATTGATACTTTTATATTTTTCTTTTTTCTTTTTCTTTCCTTTTTTTGGGGGGTAGGCAATTGCATTGCCTCCTATAGCAAAGTGGCCTTATCAAAATGGGTTTACACTCAATACTTGGTTTCGTATGGATCCCTTAAATAACATCAATGTTGATAAGGATAAACCTTATCTCTATTGGTAAGTAACTTGTTTAAATCTGAACATATATTTAAATCTGTTTTACTTATACCATTTATAAGAGCATATTTTTTGTTAAAATGATAATTCACATTTGTATATAGCTTTGTTTGCAACAATTGTTTACAACAGTCCTTTAAGATAGGTTGTGTGAGTATTATTAGTCCCATTTTACAGATGAAGTAATAGGCTCAAGGAGGTTAAGTGACTTGGCCAGGATTAGACACTAAATAGCTAAATTTGAACCTAGCTTTCCTTACTAAAATCACATGCTATTTCCATTATGCTATGCTGCTTCAAATACATAAATAGATAGTAGATATGAAGAGAAAAACTAAATCTGTGTATTTTTTTTCACACAAATTTGAAAATATATGTATAGTAACTTTCTAGCTTTATTTTTCCATAGTCAGGCCAACTACATATCCACCCAGGGTTCTAGGGGTGTAACTGAGGGGTTAGAAGTGTCTTTCTCTAATGCTACTGACTTAAACTCCTATTCTGGTCTGCTTTCCCTACTCTTAACAGCCAGTAATTAACTCCCCCCTTCTATATAACAATTAACATCTATTAGCTTTTGCATATCAGTATTTACTTTGAAGATATAGCTAGGAACAGAAGTATAAACATTTCCTCCAACACCTGGCCAGGTATATGCTTCCTTATACTGTCTATTACCATAGGGAGTGTTGGCTCATACTTATTACTATTTCAACATAGCATTAATCTCACCAAGTTCATGTTCAAGTGAACCACAGCCACTAGATGATTCCCCATCCTAGATTCTACTTCTGAATCCATGGAGCTTCAGTTTTAGACCAGCTAACTGCAAAACCTAGTTTGGATTCTTCTCATGGACTGCCTCGGGGTTCACTCTCTTGACCTCTTGAAACTTACAAGATTGTAGCCATCTTCAGCCTTTTTTTCACCAAAGCAGAAAGAATAGACACAGCAGCAACAGAGGTAACAGCAGAGCTGTGCTTTCACAGGCTGTGCTGTGCTGGCTCAAGTAAAGGGGTGAAGGCTTGATTGTCTCAATCCCATCCACTTCCTGTCTTCTCACTTGCATGCAGCAGACAATAAAAAAACCAGACCAAGGGAGAGGCCTCGGCTGGCTAGTACCTAGTGAATGAATCTATAATCTGGTTCCATTGATAATCAAAAAGATATCTCTTCATCACCTGGTCAACAGACAGAAACCAGTGACAGTTTTGAATGAATGTGTGTGCGCACATGCACACTCACACATACACACATATGTGCATAGTCATTCTAGAACTTTCACATTGATTTTTTTTTGAAACTTCTTTTGTAGTTTCCTTCAGAGCCAGTTCATAAAACATCAAATAATAAGTATGATAACTTATAGTTTTACCTCTTTCATGATTTAAAACAATATAATTCTAGCTTAATCACTAACTTTATAAATAGCATTGATTTTTAATGTTATTTAATTGTTTCTCTGCCTGGCTGCTCTACCAATGGAAGTTGAGGTTGGCACTTTCTTTGCAATTTATAATCTTAGAGAGTTGACTTTAGTCCTGAGAGATTCAATGACTTGCTAAGGATTACACAGCAAATGTGTCAGAGGACTTGAACTGTCAAGGGACTTGAAACAGGACTTTATGCTTCTGGGGCTATCTGCCCACAATTGCCATTCTGCCTCTCCAAGAGAACTAGCTAGCTTTTAAAAAAATCGTAACTAGATGCTATTACTGGGATTATTACAGCGAATAGGAAACAAGCATTTATTAAGTGTTTAATTACTATGTGACTGTGGCTTGGATCATGGTTCTTATTGCAAAATTCATACTTAATTTGAAGAAAGTAGGGAAAACCTTCAGACCAGATAGATATGACCTAACTAATATCCTTTTTGAAGTGGTGAATAGAGCTAAGGGATTAGATCATGTAGATAAGAGTGCCTGAAGAACTATAGACAGAGCTTTGAAATATTTTACAGGAGGCAGCTACAAAAACCATCCCAAAGAAAAAGATCAGGAAAGCAAAATGGCTGTATGATGGGCTTTACAAATAGCTGAAGAAAGAAGGAAAGTGAAAGCGAAAGGAGAAACAGAAAATGTATTTAACCAAATGCAGAATTCCAGAGAATAGCAAGGAGAGATAAGAAAGTTCTCTTAATGAGCAATGCAGAGAAATAGAAGAAAACAATGGAATGGGAAAGACAAGAGATCTCTTGAAGAAAATCATAGATATCAAGGGAATGTTTCATGAAAAAATGGACGTGATGGAAGACAAAAATGGTAGGGATTTAGCAGAAGCAGAAGAGATTAAGAAGAGGCAGAGGAACTAGGAACCAAATTGCCAACATTCACTATATTATTGAGAAAGCAAAGTTCCAGAAAAACATTTACTTCTGCTTCATTGACTACACTAAAGCCTTTGTGTGGATCACAACAAAATGTGGCAAGTCCTCAAAGAGATAGGAGCAACAGATCATCTTGTCTCCTGAGGAACCTGTATATTAGACAAGAAGCAACAGTTAGAATTGAACATAGAACAGCTGATTGGTTTAAGATTGGAAAAGTAGTATTGTCACCTTATTTAACTTAAATACAGATTATATCACATAAAATTCCAGGCTGGATGAATCAAAAGCCATAATTAAGGTTGCTGGGGAAAATATCACAATCTCAGATATGCAACAATGCCACTCTGATGGCAGAAAGTAAAGAATTAAGAAGGTTCTTGAGGAAAATGAAAGATGAGAGGTAAAAGCTGTCTTGAAGCTTAACATTAAAAAAAAAGATTTTGGCAACTGGTCTCATCACTTCCTGGCAAATAGAAGAAGAAATAGAAGCAGTGTTGGATTTTATATTCTTCTGCTCAAAGATCACTGTGAAAGATGACATGAAATTAAAAGATGCTTGCTTACTGCTTAGAAGGAAGACTGTAGCAAATCTGGACAGCATACTAAAAAGCAGAGATATCACCTTGCTGACAAAAGTCCATATAGTTAAAGCTTTGGTTTTCCCAGTAGCAATGCATAACTGTAATAGTTGGATTATAAGGAAAGCTGAGTGCTGCAGAGTCTACACTTTCCAATTGTGGTACTGGAGAAGACTTTTGAGAGTCCCTTGGACATCAAGGAGATCAAATCAGTCAGTACTTAGAGAAATAACTTCAGGCTATTCACTGGAAAGTCAAATACTGAAGCTGAAATTTAAATCCTTTGGTCACATAATGAGAAGACAGTACATATTGGAAAAGCCCCTGATACTGGGGAGGATTGAAGGCAAAAAAGAAGGGGATGGAAGAAGATGAGATGGATAGATAGTAAAATGGAAACAAGGAACATGAGCTTGGACAGACTTCAGGAAATAGTGGCAGATAGAAGCACCTGGCATGTTATGACTTATGGGGTCGCAAAAAAATTAAACATGGCTGAAGAACAACAATGTGACAGGAACTCTGTTATGTACTGGGGATACAAATACAAGCAAAAAGAAACAGTCTCTACCCTCAACATACTTATGATCTAGTGGGGGAAGGCAGGTTACAAAAGGGACCTGACAAGTAGGGAACTGTAAGAGAAGGTGCCTATCAGGATATCCTGTCAGAGTCCAGAGAGTCAGAATCAGAGCTGGAAGGATATGAAGGATGGCCAAACTTAGGCTCTACTCCAAAATGGAGGCTCCAATAGGAACTCAAAAATGGGAGAAAAGGGAGAATGTCAGGATGAGAAGGCCCCAGGCTCTGAGAGAAGAATACAAATGCTAAGGTATGTTCTGAATCCAGAGATTCAGAAGCAGAGCCAGAAGAAGACTCATGGAAGGCTGGCCTGTAACCCTTTCTAAAATGGAGGCCTGGAAATTACTCATAATTGGGAGAGGGGCCTAGCATAGCAAAGAGATATTCCAGAGTGAAAAAGCCCCTGGTGCCAAGGAAGGTTTCAGAGCTGGAAGAAAAATAATTATAATAGTGCCATCCTAATTTGTGTTGTACTTAAAAAAAAAGGAAGGGGAAACAATTAATATTTTATTTTTTTATTTTTTTGCTTTGGCAGTCAGGGTTAAGTGACTTGCCCAGGGTCACACGGCTAGTAAGTGTCAAGTGTCTGAGGCTGGATTTGAACTCAGGTCCTCCTGACTCCGAGGCCAGAGCTCTTTCCACTGTGCCACCTAGCTGCCTCTAGAATTAACATTTTTATAGTGTCAACTATGTGCCAGGCACTATGCTAACTGCTTTTTACAGATATTGTCTCATTTGATCCTCACAACAACTCTGTGAGCTAGGTGCTCTTATTCTCCCTCATTTTACAATTGAGGAAACTGAGGCAAACAGAGGTTAAGTGACTTGGCTGTACCTAGTCAGTATTCAAGGTAAAATTTGAACTCAGGTCTTCAGATAGAGAAAGCTCTTTTACATATATTATCTTATTTGCCATCTCTTGTCAGCAGCTTTTCCTGATCTCCCAAGTTATTAGTGTTTTCTCCCTCCTTAAATTATCTTGTGTTTGTATCTGTATAAATTCTTTAATTCTAGTCAGGTAGAATGTGAGCTGTAGGGATGTTTTCATTTGAAATTTGTATCACCAACACTTTGCCTTGCACTGTGCCTTGTGTATAAGCAAATTTTCAAAGGAGCTATGATTTCCTTCATGTAGGGAACTTCCAGAGTGGGAACTCCTCCAATGAACAGTTGCCGACACATTTATGATTTAATAGGCAAATCTTAGGGGAAGTTTCTGGCCGACTAGCTCTGTGATTACTGGGAAAATCATTTAATCTTTGTGTCCCTCAGTTTTTTCATCTATAAAATGAGGGTAATGTATGTAATACTTACAGGATTATTGTGAGGATCAGTTGAGATGATGTATGTAAAGCTGCTCACAAAACTTAAAATGTCATATAAATGTGATTTACAGTTATTACTCTTTCACAATCTTAAGGTGGGATAATGGGCTTTGATGGTCCTCACAGAGGCCAGGACCCCTGTAAGTATTTGTCAGCCAATAATTTGTGTTAATCTGTGTACTTGAATATAACATTAAAATAAAGATAGTAAAATATTTTAATTCTTGCTTTTCAGTAGTTCAGACCCCCCAAAGCACCCAAATTATTTCAGCAAGTTAGGTTTTATTGTTTTGTCTGCAAGTATATACCTATTCTCCTCTGTATGGCAAGTCTTATGTACCTATATACTTTTAGTAGGAGTTTGATACTATTTAGTTTAATTCCTTATTCCTATTTTTTTTTAAACAGTTTTCGTACTAGCAAAGGTGTTGGTTATTCTGCTCATTTTGTTGGCAACTGTTTAATAGTTACTTCACTGAAGTCAAAGGGCAAAGGTTTTCAACACTGTGTGAAATATGATTTTCAACCACGAAAGGTAAGTAAAAATGAAAATGTTTTTGGATTGTTTCTTTTAGGTGAAGTATTTTTATTCCTAAGCTTTACAGTATGAATTAGAAAGTCTTTTATTTTGCATATATTTTCCCTTGGTCTGGAAGTTCAGAGGAGCTAAAATCTTATAAAGAAACAGTTCAATAAACCCATGGCCCCAGATATTTTTATAAATTCGTAATGTATGGGCAATAGGCAAAATAGAGGACAAATCTTAGCAGGAAGACAAATTTGATGTTGTTGATGTCATTGATGCTTGTGGAGATAAGGCCTTTAACTGGAAAAAGTTAGTTCATACTGTAAATAATTTGAGTTGGAAGGGACTACCTACGCTAACTCGTTCACAAATAAGAAACTTCTCTATTTAATAGCTGACAAAGGAGATATTATTTGTAAAGCACTTTGCAAGCTTAGAAATGCTATATAAATGCTTGTTATCATGATGATGGATGATGATGATAGTCCCATCTAGCCTTTTCTTGAAGACTTCCAAGGAAGGGAAACTCACTGCCTCCCAAGATAGCCTCTTCCCCTTATATATAAATCTCTTCATTAAGAAGTTCTTCCTTACCTCAGCATTTATTAATTTTCCTCTTTGGAGCTTTGGCTCACTGGTCCCCATTCTACCCCCTGGACCAGCTAGAACAAAGTCTGTTCCTTCTTCCATGTGACAGCTCTTCAATTGAAGATTGCTATCACGTCCTCCCTAAAATTTTCCCTTGGTTAAACCTTCCCCAGTTCTCTCTTACCTTGTATGTGAAAAGCTATATTGTGGGTTATGCATATTCTTCAAACTTTATATGGGCCATGCCCAGGTTTACACAGAAATTTGTAATCACCAAGGCTAAATTAAATGTCAGCATATTGTGAAGGATAATTATTACATGTCGTCATCATCTTTGACTTTTGTTAAACAAAATGAACAGTGTAAACTGAAGCAATGAACACTAGTGGAACAATGATATCCAACGCTCATTTTGTAATCCCTCTGTGTTTTTCCATTTATCTGAAAAGGTTATTTGACATTTTCAAAATAAAATTAACTTTTATTCGTTGTCACTTAAATTAATGTGCTATACCATTTTTAATGAGGGAGGAATAAATACTAATGATAAAATTCCATTATTTGTAAGAAATTTAGAATTTGAGCACTTTGCTCTGATGACTTCGAAAGGCAGAGAAATATAGCAGAACTAGTTTTTATTTGATAAGTGAATTTGTATATCTTGCTTCTCTTAAATAATTTATTAGTTCTAATGATTTTAATGGTTTGAATGGTTCACTGGACTTCCATATTTTTACAAATGGACAGTTTTATTCCCCGTGGGATCTGACCAATATATTACCATAGAAATTTTACTGAATTTCTATACCCAGAGAGAACTCATTCCATTTTTTGACATTTATACAAAATGGAGACAATATTAAAAGGAAGACTATTAGGAAAGCTTCTTTCAGAAAGTGAGATTGTAGCTGAGGTTTGATGGAAGCTGTGAGGGAAAGATGAGGAGGGAGAGCATTCCAGGTGTGGTGGATATGAAAATGCCTTGATATAGGCAATATAGGGTGCCTTGTGTAAGCAGACCAGTATCAACTAGATTTCAGAGTATGTGGAGGGTAATCATATTTAAGAAAACTGAAAAAGTAGGAATGGCCCAGGTCATAAAAGGCTTTAAAAGTCAAATAGTGAATTTATCTTTGATCTTAGAGGTAATAGTGAGCCACTGGGTTGCATAAGGAGGGGACATGGTCAGATCACTTTGGTGTCTCTGAGTAGAGAATGTACTGGAGTAAGGAAAAACTTCAGGAAGGGAGTTTAAGTAGAAGACAATCATCTGATATGTGGTAATGAAGATTTACCACTAGAGTGGCTGCTATGTGCATGTAGAAGAGACAAATATTAGAGATATTATGAAGATTAAATTGAAAAAACTTAGCATCGAATTATGAATATGGAGTGAATGAGGAGTTGAGAATGACAAATAGGTTCTGAGCCCAGGTGATTAAAAGGATGTTGGTACCCTTGACATTAATAGGGAAGTTTTGAAGAGAAGAAGATTTAGAGGAAAAGATAAGTACTGTTTTGGACATAGTGACTTTGGGATGCCAATGGGACGTTCAATTTGAGATTGGCCAAAAAACTTTTGGTAATGTTAGACTGTAGGTCGAGAGAGGTTAAGTCTGGACAAATAGATCTCAGAATTGCCTGCTTAGAGTTAATTGAATCCATGGGATCTTATAAGAACATCAAAGTAAATAGTGTGAAAGAAGAGAAGATGCACGTTGGATCCTTAAGGAATTCCCATGTTTAATGTTTGTGACACTGATGAAGATCTAACCAAGAAGTCAGAAAAGTAGTCTGTCAGATAGAAGTAGAAGAACAGTATCATGAAAACAGAGAAGATAAATTATCAAGGAGAAGGGGGTGAGTGATGGTGTCAAAGGCTGCAGAGAGGTGAAGAAGAATGAGGTTTAAGAAATGGCCATGAGGCAGTTAAGACTTCAAGTGAGATTTCTAGTTCATTCCATTCAACAAGATTGAAGACTACATTTTTTTCCTGATCCTCATGAGCTGTCAGACCTCTCTATGATAGGAATTATACATGAGATAAAGCAATATCAGCTATTTCCAGATATCAAGAACCCAAACAAGTTAACAATTCAATGAAAAAAATAGCAGAGAAGGCTAATGCCGAACCCTTACTATGTTTTCTCAGTACTCCTTCCCTCACCACCCACCACACTTTAGTAGCAGGACTGCAGAACCAGATCTCCAACAGAACTCAACTCTACCATCTCTCCTTTCATTGGAGAAAACCAAAAATCAGAAGGTTAATTAGGCCGAGATAGCATGGCAGCTATCTGTTCTCCAACACAGCTCAGCTAGAGAACTAAACAGAGGAAACTGGGGGAGGCCACATGTGGGAGGCAGTAGATTACTCCACTCGGCTTGAGGAAAAGACTCCAGCATCTAGCTGGGCCAGTTCTGTCCTCACATGTGAATTACCTGTGATTTACCTGGATTGGGAGGAGGCTGAGAAGGCTTTTAGGAGACTAAATGATAGGGAAATGAAAAACAATAACAGTTTGAAATTGCCAAAGATCTAGAGGAGGAAACTAAATTAAAGACCTTGAGCCTAAGCAAATATATCAGCAGGAAAGATATTAATAACAGAAGAGAGTATAGCTTCAGATCAGGTAGAAGAGTCCAGACATCTGTGAATAAATATGGACAGACAAAGCAAAATGAATTAACACCTTATCAGCAGAAGTCCTTGTTGATTCTCAAGACAGCATGGAACTATAGCAAGATATGTTCCTAAATGACTTAAAAGAAAAATACAGAGAGGATTCTGGGAAGGTGGCAGAGTAGGTCAGAAAACTTTCTGCTATCCAAATTTCCTCCACCAAAAAAACCCAAAAAACAGACAAACTAACCAGAACGTTGCCTCAGGGCAGTAGAAATAAACATGGGGTAAAGCAGTTGTCCTCCTAAGACAATTTCAGAAGACCCCAGGAAAGACCTGACCTCCGGGATCAAGGTTTGGCCTAAGTGAAGTGCAAACACCTCCAGCCCAACTCTTCGGAGTCAACAAACACCATCCCTTTGGGGTAGCTGGTTTGAAAAGGCAGCATCTGCCTTAGAAACTTTCATCTCCCAGACAGTGTCCAGGTTTGACTGCTGAGTAGGAGACTATTGAAGGACCTTACATTGTCAAGGGATGCCAAACACAGCTGTGGTGACCAGACACATGCCAGGCTGTGGCTGCCACTTGGAGGAAGAAGGAGCTAGCACATACCTGGTGAGTGCAGTGGCAAGGGGGCAGGAACGCTGATGGTTGTGGTCACTTGCAGGAGAGCAGAGTCCCTGGTTTCAGTTCCAGGGCACAGAGGACAGCTGTAGTTTGCAACCACCTGAGGGACTGGATGGAGCAAGATCATTTACAGTACACTGTGGATAGGGCCCTAGCTGTGGCTTAGGAGTGGAGAGGAGAGTCCAAGGTTGGGCCCTGGGACAGACCTCAGAAAATAACAGTAAGAAGGACCTGATCCTTCCGCATCATTCCCTGTACCTCAGGACTAGAACTTCATTACACTAGTAGCTACTAAAAAATAAAACAAAACAAAACAAAAAAAAATGAGTAAGCAAAGGAGAAAGAAACCAACCATAGATAGTTACTATGGGGATAGGGAAGATCTGGGTTCATATGCAAAGGAAGATAATGAGCTAAAAGAGAAATGTCAGATGGTCCCAAGCGCAACAAAAGTTCTTGGAAGAACTTGAAAAGGATTTTAAAAATCAAATAAGAGAGATTGAGGAAAAATTAGAAAAAAAAATAAGAGCAATCCAAGAAAATCAAGAAAAATATGAAAAGAAAGTCAACCAACTAGAAATGGAGAATCAAAAACTTAAGGAAGAAAATAATTCCTTGAAAACTAGAATTGGGCAAGAGGAAGCTAATGACATTCTAAGAGACCAAGAAATAAAATCAAAAGAATGAAAAAATAGAAGAGAAAGTGAAACATCTCATCAGATAAACAACCAGTCTGTAAAATAGGTAGAGGAGCACAAATATAAGAATAGTCAGAGTATCTGAAAATTATAATAAAAAGAATCTTGATACAATATTTTAAGAAATCATCAAGGAAAATTGCACTGGAGTTATTAAGGCAAAGCAGAAATAGAAAAAAATCTGCTCATCACCACATGAAAGAGATCCCAGGAGAAAAACTTAACAGGAATGTGATAGCCAAATTTCAAAGCTCCCAGGTTAGGGAGAAAATGTTGGAAGCAACAAGAAAAAAACAATTTGAATATCGTGGAACTACATTAAGGATTACACAGGACCTAGCAGTTACTATTTTGAAGGACCCAGCAAAGTTAAGTATAACCCTGAATGTAAAAAAAGGTAGACATTTAACCAACTGAAAGACTTTCAGGTTTTTGCAACAAAGACAGCAGAACTTAAGGGAAAATTTGACATATAACATCCAGGAGAAACATAAGGTAAACATTAAAGACCAATTATAAGGGACTCAATAAATTATTTATTTTGTATATTTGAAAATATTAGCAGTATCTTATGATTGTTATCATTATTTGGGTAGTTTGAAAAAATTGTGTGAGCTGACCTGAGCATGATGGGGCGATTCTAACAAAATAAAACTATATAGGGAAGCATAAAAAGGAATAGTTATCTCATACAAATGAAGCATAAAAGGAAAAATAGATACAGAAGAAGCAAGTAGGGGGGAAGGCGAGTAGTGCTGAAACCTTGCTCTCATCGGGAATAGGTTAAAGAGGAAACAACATATATATCTAGGAGGGTATAAAAGTCTTCCAAATTCAGAAGGAAATAAGAGGGCAAAGGGATAGGTTAGAGGAGAGGATAAGGAAACCAGATTATTGAGAGCTTAAAGCAGAGTGAGAGGAGAGGAAGTGGAGTCATTGATTGTAAATGGCTTTCTTAGGAATTCTGGTTGAGAATGAAGGAGAAATGTAGAATGATAGCTAGCAATGATAGTTGAATCAAATTGAGTTTTTTTTTTATGGATTTTATGGGGAGACACAGGCATGTTGGGAGGCATCAGGGATACAATCAGTATATAGAAAGAAGTTGAAAATCAGTGATAAAGTGAGGATGGTAGAGAAGGCAATTTGCTGAATGAGAATAGGATCAAGGGGGAACACAGAGTAATTAACCTTGTCAGAGAGAAGGGCCACCTCTTCATGTGAGACGAGATGAAGGAGGAAATAGTGGGGGAAGACATCTGAGTGATGTTTGCACCATCTAAAGCTTCAGAAATAAATACGGTACATGCTGCAGATTTTCAGACCTGCACCTCAGTTAGCTGCCTGTGGTGTCAGCTGGGATAGGGTGCAGTGGCAGTAAAGATGACTTCCCACCGTCCTTTTGCATGCAGCAAAAGTGTCGTAGTTGATATTTTAGTGATATTTTACCAATTTTCCTCCTTTTTGGGGGTTTCTTACAGTGCTTATGTAGAGAGAAAATATTCCCTGTTACCTCTTTTTTGGATCTATACAAAAAGATATTTTAGTAATTTTATGTGAGAGTAAAACAGAGAGAAAAGGAATGGGAACGAGAGTCTGATTTACTCCTTGGCTAACTCTGTTGAGCCTGTTCTCATAGAGACAGCGTCTACTTTTCTTGCCTACTTTTCATCATTCAACTGAAACTGCTCTCACCAAAGTTAACAATGCCCTTTTTAATCACCAAAGCTAATGGTCGTTTCTCAGTCCTCATCCTTCTGAACCTCTCTATATCCTTTGACACTTTCAGTCATCCTCTTCTCCTTGACACTCTATCCTCTTTAGATTTTCATTATACTCTCTCTTCTGGTTCTCCTCCTGCCTTTCTGAATTGCTTTCAGAGAGGACATAGAATTTGTCTCTTGCTCTTAGTCTCCCTTGCTGGATCTTTATCTAGCTAACTCTACATGTCTCCTAAGGTTTTTGTCCTGAGTCTCTTTTCTTGCTCTATAGATTTCCCTTGGTAATCTCATCAACTCCCATGTATTCAGTTATTTGATTTGATCCATTTGCCTAGCCTTAACCTCTTTCCTCACCTCGAGTTTCACTTCTCTAACTGCCTATTGAACGTCTCCAACTGGATATCTCATAGACATCTTAAAATCGATATGTCAAAAACTATACTCATTATCATTCCCCCAAACCTCCACTCCTCTGAACTTCTCTGTTACTTTCCAGGGCACCACACTTCTCCCAGTTACCAAGGCTCTCAACTTAACATTTCCTCCTTAACAACACAGTTGCTGTCATTCTGCCCCCACCCCCATCCAATTAGTTGTCAAGCCCTTTGTTTCTATCTTCATACATCTCTTGTATATGCTTTCTTCTGTCCACTGATACTGCCACCACCCTACTACACACCATAATCACCTCACACCTGGACTATTACAATAAATACTGGTTGATCTCCCTGCCTGAAGTCTCTTTGTACTCCAGTCCATTTTTCCCTTAGCTGTCTGAAAAGGCTGATCTGACCATGTCCTTATACAGCCCTCCATAGTCCACTAGATATGAGATCCAGTGATGCTGGCTTCCTTGCGGTTCATTGCATTAGATTCTTCATCTTCTTACTTCAGGCATTTTTATTGGCTATCCTCCATGCACGTAACTCCTCATCTCTGCCTCTTGCTTTCCCTCATTTCCTTCAAATCTCGTTTAAAGTCCCATTCCAAGATGGGCAAGTTGAATTTCCCATTCCTCCTTAACTTTAATGCCTTTTCTCTGAAACTGTCCCCAATTTATTTTGTATGTATCTTGTTTGTACATAGTTTTTTACTTGTCTCGCTCATTAAATTTGAGAGCCAGAAGCTATTAAAAAAAAGTCTAGGCCTGAATTAAGGTGTTAGCATTAAGGTGTTGAATTAAGGTGCTGGAATGGAATGGACAGACAGATGGAAAGATCTATTCTGAAGATACACTTGCTAAAACTTTTAAATTTGATATTCAGAGCACTTGGGAGATAAAGAAGAGCTAAGTATAACTCTGAGGTTTTCAGTATTAACAGCAATAGTGAGATTAGAAAAAAAAAGATTTCAGAGAGAAGAGGTGGAATTTGGTTTTATATTATAAAGTCTTAGATTTTTTTTTTAGCCTTAATATAAAACATTCCCTTGGAAACATATATTTTTAAAAGTATAATAAATGCTAGCCATAAATTAGGGACTAATTTCATCTCTTCCTATAGAGGAATATCTATACCTAAATATGATAACAACGATTCAAAAATAATTCACGAATATTTAGCAGTCAGCAGGTTTGGTAACGCAAACTACTTCTCTGTTTTGACCAGTGTGAAATGCATAGTTGGTATCAGTTGCTTTAAACTTGAATTATAATTATTTTTCTATGATAAATGGAGTTTTGTCATCTTAGGTGATATGAACATTTTCTTCATATTTATTTGTTGTAATTATAAAAATTTGTTTATGCATTTCCTTTTTCTTTTTCAATTCCTTTAAGTGGTATATGATCAGCATTGTTCATATCTACAATCGTTGGAGAAATAGTGAAATACGATGTTATGTTAATGGTCAGCTGGTTTCATATGGTGATATGGCCTGGCATGTTAATACAAATGATGTAAGTTTGTTTTCTATATTTTTTTAAACTTTTGTCCTTTCACTTATTTTTACTATTTTAGTGTAATTAGAACTAAAATGGTGGTGATCATTGTCTGAGAAGTTATCAATGAATATTGAAAATAGAAGCACATTTCATTTTTTTAAGTAGGAAAAATGTAACCACTATTTAAAGAAAACTACTGCTAAAGGTTTATTTGATTTTAATTTTTTTATTATGACACTATATTATATTTTGTAGTAATGAAGGGACAAGTATTTTGTTTAGATGTCACTCAGAAATAGTGCATTTGACATTATATGTATACTTTTTTATTTTTAAACAGAGCTATGATAAGTGCTTTCTTGGATCTTCAGAAACCGCTGATGCAAATAGAGTATTCTGTGGTCAGCTTGGTGCAGTTTATGTGTTCAGTGAAGCGCTCAACCCAGCACAGATATTTGCAATACATCAGTTAGGACCTGGATATAAGGTGGTAATTAGTATCTTACTAAAATTTTATGAGCAATATGAAACTGCAGATATGAAATGTTATATAGATTAGTATCTAATGTAAATTCTCTTTTAAATTTAAATAGAAGCAACAATAATTTTTGGAATTAAAATGTGACATTCTAAGCTTTATACAATTTCCATTATTCTTTTTCTCGTTCAGCATTTTTTGCCCCCATGTTCTTGTGTGGTTACCCTTCATTGAATTTTATAATGTTGATAAAATATATTAATCTGCTATTCAAAAATAAAAAACCCAATGAAACTTATTGTTATGAGACTGGATAAATAATTGTTAAAACAATGCAATAAGGAGAGCTAAAATAAATTTTTAAAAATTCTTGTGTGCCTTGATTTAATATTGTTTAGATGTGGGGTAAAGAGGTAACAAAGGAAATGAGAACAGATGTGGAAATGAAGATAACATGGTCTTTTGCTGAAATAACTGAACTTCAATAGCCTCTGCTCCTCAGCCTCAGTAAAGACTATACAAAGAATTTAATACAACCAAAATATTTTGTATGAATTTGTTCACTTTCTATTTTGTCTATAATAGTCTTTCCCATACTTTTATACTTTTTGAGGGATATAATTATTTTATTGTGCTTCTAATATTCCATAGTCTGCAGATCACTAGGACTTAGTTGTGTCAGGAAAGTAATTGAATTCAAAGACTTTGGAGAGTCTCCAGTTTCTTTAGCATTAGGGAAATAGGATATTTTCATTTAATTCACATGGACCATAATGACATACAAAATGCAAACTTAATATAAGACTATATTATGCATTCTCACCAAAGTCCTTACAGTCCTATTGTGCTGCATTGATAAGACTTGATTGTGAATAAAAATTAATATTGAAGTAATAAGTTCTAAGTGACATGAAGCAGAGGTACCAAATTTTTAGAAACATTTCTTTCTTTACTTCCTGAAAGTAATATACTGTGCCAGGAGTCCTTTTGTACTAATGTTTTCTTTTTGATTTTCTCTACTATATTTTGGAACAACTTTTAAAATAGAAAAATTAAAATATAAAAAGTTGTAGTTTGTTTAGGGAATTTTACTATTTTGGTGAATGTGCCAATACCACATCAATACTGGAATTGTAATGATTTTTATCCTTTGTGTGAGGAGATTATCATATTGTATTATTAAGAGAGAGAAGTAATGAGATACAGTGTAAAATGCATTATCTCTGGAGTTAGAGGACATGAGTTCAAATCCTGCCCCTGATGCTGACTACCCACGTGACCTTGGGCAGGTAGCTTAATTTTCTCTTTTTCCTCACTGGAGGATTTAGACTAGATGACCTCTGGTTCTAAGTCTGTGATGCTGGGATTCTGTGATGATCTTTAAGGCCTAGGTTTTGAATTGATTTTTTTTAACCATAGAGATTAATTTTCAGCCGACTCTTTTTTTTTCTGTTTATGTATCTCTTGATTCCTCTTGATACTATTTATTCCTCTTGATACCATTTGTAAGAAATTTGGCTGGAATCATAGGTAGACTCTGTAGCCGGGGAACAACGGTGTCATTTGGTTTATAGAGGAGTTAAATATATTGACTTCAATTCAGTTTATACATCTAAGTGCCTACTATGTCCTCTTTACCATAGTGTTATTTCCAATTGACCTAAGGAGTCATGAGCAATCTTGGGATTAAAGAACCATCTAGACTTAATGAATGAAGATTTTTGCCTAAATTTTGGTTCACAGTAGTCCTTGAAATAAGAGATAATTATTTGTGCTAAGAGTCTGCCTACTTGACATTTAAAAGTAACAAACTTTTTTTTTGTTAAAATTATGTTACTGGTTGAAGTGTAGGGCATGGTATTTATCACTTAAAACTCTTAAGTTTAGGGAACTAAATTTACTCTCAAATTTGCTTTATACAAATAGTACTTGTGATACAGAATTTTGGGATTTTGTAGTGTAGTTTTAGTATAACTGTGCCCTTTCTTCCTCTGTCTGCAACCAACTGAACTGCCATGTTATGGTAATGATCTCTGCTTTGCCATGTTTTGAAAGTAGCAAATTTGTGAACATGGTCCAAAATGAAAGAATTATTAATAAAGAAATCATGAGTTGTCAATCAAATGATCAAATCTTTCAGTCTTTATTTAACACTTTTGTTTATATGGTAAGCTTGGTCCTTTGAACTGATAGACCAACAGGATTTTTTTCCTTGGAAGGCTGTTTTTTATTGTAACCTTATTATTTGGAAGCTGGACCACTGGTGTATATTTTAGTGACCATGTTTAACAGCGCTCTAGAGTAATTTCCTGATGATTATTGCCTATTTGCCAGTTGTCTGACAATTAAATGTTGCAACAGAAAATTGAAAAAATCTTTATGGTTTGACAAGGATTGGGCAATTTTGGTAGGAAGATTGGATCTTAGAACTAAAAGGGAATTTATCGTTTCCGAGTCCATCTAAAAAAAAAAAAAGAGAAAACCAGCACCCATAGAAATTAACTAGCTTACCCAAGATCACAGGGTTGATGTCAGATTTGGTGAAGGACCGTAATTCATCCTGATTTGTTAGTACAGTGAGTTTTCTGTCATACTGCAATGAATTCTTTGTTCTGTAACCTCATATCACGGAGGTGTTGTCACATATGATACAGAGGTTTCTTCAGGTGAACTTCTTGGAGAGAGACCAGGAAATTCAAATGAAATGCAAAATAAGAACAAATAAAAAGGATCACTGTGGTAAAAGTTGGTATCATTAAAATTGTTTAAATCTTAAATGAGATTGTTTTTTGCTACTTTATGAAGAATGTGAGTGAGTCAAATGATCATAATGTTAGATTTTCTTCAGTTGCTATGTTTTACTTTGAATAATTTTATTTTATGTAAAATAGTCATTTGAAAATATTTCTTGTGAAGCTTTTTTGCTTCTCTTTTCCTTTAATTTCATTGGTATCAGAAATTGCTAATGTGGAAACTGTTTACCAGTGTAGATCAGTATCTTGTCTGTTATTCATAGTCTTAGAGTGTTATCCAGGAATTTGGGAGGTAAGGAATTTGCTCCTGGTCCAACAGGTTTTACATGTCTGAGGTAGGACATGAACCTATAGGGGTCTTTGTGATTCCCAGATTACTATTCTCTTATCACTCCTTTTCTTTTATATAAGTGATTTTTGCAAATTTGCCTGCATTAAGTATAATTTTTATGTCTGATTCAGAATATTTACCAGGCAGCAAAGTTCATATTTTTAAAATCGGCAAGAAAACGAATCACTTAATAGGAATTCATAGCAAACTTAACTGGAATACCTATATCCATCAAATAAGGGAAAGTTCTGTTTAACTTAAGTTTTCTTCACGTATCCTGTTGTTTGGAACTAAATTTTTATTGACCATTATTTTCAGTATTGGAGATTTGGTAGGTAGTAGTTAAATTTGGAACTGGGATAGAGGGAATTTGAGGAGAGTAACTCTGCACCATTCTATACATGTTCTCTCTACTATCATTCATCTTGATAGTTACTATTGTTTCCTTTTGTGCCATTTTACTAGCCATGTACAGCATTTACGTAGGATCCCCCTTATTTGAGTTATCCCATGATATGCCATGACAGATGATAGTAACATCTTTGGCTTTTACTCACCCTTGTCTATTTGGTACAAATTCTCTGCCTTGTTATTTTTTCTTGCCTTGTGAAACAATTTCAGTCTTGTTCTGTTAGTACCATATAACATTTACATGAAATCTCTGTTTAGTCATTAAGAGATTCAGAGTTTTAAAATGACCTAATGTGTTTTCATCATTTGATTTCTCATCAAGTTTCTACTTCAACATGATTTCTTCAAGAATTAACTAAAGGCTTGTTCCTGTCCTGATTTGTATACCAAAGACATAGCTAGGATTCTCTCCCTCCTGCACCTTCATAGGCTATTCCTAATTTATCTGGATAGAAAAGGGGTAGAGAACTTGAGGCCACATGTGGCCCTCTAGGTTCTCAAGTGCAGCACTTTGACTGAATCTAAACTTCACAGAACAAATCCCCTTAATAAAAAGATTTGTTTTGTAAAACTTGGAGTCAGTCAAAAGGTCACACCCAAGATTCTAGGATAGAACCTGACTTCCCTAAATTTCTTTTGTTTTCTTCTAGTGGATAAATAATCCTGCATAATTCAAATTGGTGTACCTTAAGTAGTGGGTTTTTTTTTTTTTGGCGAGGCAGTGGGGTGAAGTGACTTGCCCAGAATCACACAGCTAGTAAGTGTCAAGTGTCTGAGGCCATTTGAACTCAGGTCTTACTGAATCCAGGGCCAGTGCTCTATCCACTGCGCCATCTAGCTGCCCCTAAGTAGTTTTAACTTTCAAATAATCAACTCAGTGATACTATAAATTTCTAAATATAACATTATTACTACATTTAAATGAAAATTTTCACTTTGGTGAGTAAGTTGAAGAATAATTGAGAAGGAAAGAACTAAAGCAAGTTATAATGTTCAAGGGTAGAGAGTTAAATTGGATTCAGAGCAGACTAAATAAATGGTGTTATAGCTTTACACAAGAATTGATCATTTGATTCTAATTTTTCCATTTCTACTGAGACCTGATCAAGAAAATAAATTTAAATTTGATTACCTGAAATATTTAATGCTTCTAAAAATTTGTTGTTTTATCATTATTTGTACAGGTTGCATTTCCTTTACTTTTTAATAGATGTGGGTGCTTTCTTTTAATGATACATATTCCAACACTTGGTGTTTGGTACTTAGTGTTTCAAAATTACTATGGCCAGTCTGGTGATGAGCTTCTCCAAACATAGCTAAGCTAGTCTTGGAAATGTACTAAAAGCCTTTCCCACTTGATTATACCTGATGAAGCTGGCATAACCCTAAAAAAACCCAGGGGCACCTCTGTACCCTGATGATATATTGCAGATGTATTTAGAGGAATTTAAATGTAGTAATATTGAATTGCAATTTTTATCTACCGCATGTTTTATCCTTCAGATTTAAAGAGTATAAATAAATGGCAGTACTACCTAAATTAGCTTATTTATTAGTGCCATACCAATCAATCTACCAAATGATTATTTTGAAGAATTAGAAAAAGCAATAATGAAATTGATCTGGAGGGACAAAAGAATCTTAAGGGAAATAATGAAAAAAAAATGAGAAACAAGGAAATCAGATCTCAAAATATCCTACAAAGCAATAATCATCAAAATGACATAGTGCTAGTTAGAAAAATAGAAAGGTCAATTAGTGGAAAAGGTTAGGAACACAGAATTCAGAAACTAAAGGAATCTAGTAGCTTAGAGTTTGATTAACCCAGAAGTCCCACCTATTGGGTTAAGTACTCACTATTCAACAAATACTGTAGAGAAATATGAAGAGCAGTCTGGCAGAAAGTAGGCTTAGACCAGCAATTCACATCAGTTAGGTTCCAAATGAATACATTACATAAATATTAGAAAGTGACATGCTAAACAAATTAGAGAAACAAGGAAGATGTTTCCTGTCAGATCTATGGATAGGGGAAGAGTTAATGATCAAAAAGGCATTAGAGTGAATCACAGAAGATAAAATCAGCAATATGCTGGCACCAGCTTGAATCATATCTCAACATTTCTTCATTTTGTTAAATTTTCAGTATGCATATTTACACCTGAGAAATAGGGTAAACACTACGAATAAGGGCTTGACTTAGTTTTGTTGATTGCCTTCACATAAAGTGATAGAGAAAATGCTAATAATACAGATTAAACTTAAAAGTTTGTTATATATGCACTTTTTTTTCCTGGAGAGCCATTTGTTAAACATTTACCTGTATATCTTTGGATCAGATAGACAATTTTCATTTTATAAAATTGAAATATTTTGGCACAGACAAAAATCAATATTGTTAAAATTAGAAAGGAAGTAGCTTACTGGGCAAAAAAGTCATTGCAGCAAATTTCTCTGATAAAGGCCTTATTTTTTAAGATACATAAGGAGTTAATTCAGATTTATAAAAATAAGAAAGCAATTTGTCTATTGACAGGTGATCAGAGGATTTGAACAGGAAGGTTTCAAAGAAAGAAATCCAAACTGTCACACAGTTCCAAATCACTATTAATCAGAGAGATGCCAATTAAATCAACTCTGATGTTGCCCCTTACACCAACTGCATTGGCAAGGATGACATAAAAGGAAAATGATAATTGTTGAAGGGAGTGCAAAAAAATAAGCACAGTGGTATGTGGTGGAGCTGTGAATTAGTTTAACCCTTTGGACAACAATTTGGAACAATGCTTTAACTAAACTGTGCATACCTTTTGACCCAATGGTCACTCACAGGCCTAGACTCCAAAGAGGTCAAAGAAAAAAAGTGTCTCTCTATCTCTCTCTCTCTTCCCCTCCCTCCCTCTTTCTCTCCCTCCTTTCCTCCCCCTCTTCTTCCTTCTCCTCTGTGTATATGTGTATGTATGTATGTGTGTTCTTTTTATAATGGCCACAAACTGGAAATAACTGAGTGCCTATCAGTTGGGGAAGGACTGAAAAAAATGTTATAGGCATGTAATGAAATACTGTTATGCCATAAGAAATAAACAAAAGGAATGTTTAAAAGAGACCTAGGAAAACTTATATGAACTAATATAGAAATAAATGAAATAAGCAGAACTAGGAGAGCAATTTATACAATAACAACATTGTAAAGACAAGCACTTCTAAAGGACTTGAGAACTCTGATGAATGCAGACTAACCATAGTTCCAGAGGACCAGTGATTGTACATGCTGCTCACCTCTTGACTAAGAAGTATTGGTGTTAGAATGCATAGATCAGACATGTATTTTTGGACATGGCCAGTGAAGCAATTTGTCTTGCTTAGCTATGCATGTTTTTTTTACATGGATTTTGTTTTACTTTTTTTTTTGTTTTCTAATGAGGGGAACAAGTTTCAGGGAGAGAAAATAAATACTTGTCAGTTGAAAAAAAAAGTTTGAGTATTATATATTGCTTTTAATTTCAGAACATTTATTTTCCTATTTTTTTTTCAGAGCACTTTCAAATTTAAATCTGAGAGTGATATTCACCTTGCTGAGCATCATAAACAGGTTCTATATGATGGGAAACTTGCAAGTAGTATTGCCTTTACATATAATGCTAAGGCTACTGATGCTCAGCTATGCCTAGAATCATCACCCAAAGAAAATGCATCTATTTTTGTACACTCCCCACATGCTCTCATGCTCCAGGTTGGTTTTCATGCTGTGTTAAATGTTAAAATCATCATAATCTAATGTATACTATTATACTATAATGTTTGCCCTCTTTTATTTGGCTTGTCTAAGTTTAGTTATTACCTACTGTTTTCTTGGGATAGAATTTTCTTCTATTTGAAAATTTACCTTATCACATTTTAGTAGCAAATATAGTATCTTTTATTGCATAGCTGCTGTATTTAGTTTAATTTAATTAACTTCTTTGATATAAATTTAAAATTTTATTGATTAGATGAATCTATCCTAGTTATTTCATGAAGGCTATATGGTATAATGACTGTGCTGTCAAGAGTTTATGGATTCATATCCCAATTCTGACACGTTATTACCATGATATCGGGCAAGTTGTTTATAGAATCAGAGAATTTGAGAGTAGGAAAGGATCTCAAAGGCTAGACCAACTCATACATGCAGGTTTAATTTTCAGGGGTCCTAGTTTTTTCATCTGTAAAATGATGGGGTAGCCTACAAAGCCTGTCAGGTCCCTACGTGATTTATGTCCAGCTCAATAAAGGCTCCTACTTGTGTTTTTTGTATGATATTATGTTATTCTATACTATAATATTTCATAATTACATATTAAAATTTGCAAGCTATTTTAAAAATAATGTTGCATGTATGTTATTTATTAATATATAGTGCATGGGTATAGAGAATATTAACTAAATATTTAATTCTTATTGTGTTTTTTAAACATAGGATGTGAAAGCTATAGTAACACACTCAATTCACAGTGCAATTCACTCAATTGGAGGTATTCAAGTACTTTTCCCTCTTTTTGCACAACTGGATAATCGTCAGCTCAATGACAGTCAAATGGAAACAACAGTCTGGTAAGTTTTCTGTGTTACATATTATTATTGATATTTAATATTTGGAGAGCATTAGTTGTGTACTTAAAAAAAAATAAACCGCTAAAACCTGGTTCTTAACTTTTGAAATGATAATATAAAGTTTTAAAGACACTCAAACTTTCTTAACCATCTGAAAGGAAGATTTGCTAGATAGGCTATCAAAAATTCTTATCTGTTCAAACCTCTATGATATAATTTAGAATAAATGTTTAAACCTAGAGTCACTTTTGCACACTTTTTGTTTGTGTGGGTTACCTATGGGAGTTCTGCTTAATTGAAAAGAATTTTGAGAAAATGTTTATTTATATAATGATTTGACTGAAAGGCATATAATTTTATGTTAAATAGTGAAATTGCTTTGTAATGCTGTTGTCAGGGCACAAGGCAAGAAGAATATCTATTGATGGGATTTTTTTTACCCAGAACTTTTGCTGTTTGTAGTTACGTTTCGGGGAAAACATGATCTGACCCTGGTTTATATAATATCATGTAATAATGATAGGTTTTAGTGAAGTTCTCTATGTGATTTTTAGAAGCAAATTCTTAAAAGTTCTTTTTCTTTTTAAAAATAATTCAGTTGATACAATATAATTTAATGTTATACATTAGTATAATATGTTAGAAATAAAATATGGAATGAGAAAGTCCATATATGAAATTTCATTTACTGTTAGGTTAATTGAAAAGAGAAATGAGATGTAGGAGCATCAGTCTTTTACTTAGATACTAATACAGGAAAATGTCATGAATTTATATACACGCATATATACATACCCATATTTGATATTTTTTGTTGGATAAAAATTAATAAAATTAAGGTGTTAAGAAGAATTCATTGTTCTGTGAGCATGCATTTTGCTCATTCAGCTTATAGCATTCTCAGTAATATTCACACCAATAGAAACATATGTATTTCAATCAAATAACAAAGACTGAACAAAAAAAGACTCTAAAGTTAAATCATGCAGGTTCCATCTGTTGTTCGATTACTTTTTTTGTAGCAATATGATATTGTGTAAAGAAAATCAGTAATTCTATGGTTTGTCCCCACTGTGATACAAACTTCATATGTGACTTTTTGTACTTCTTGTAACCTTTATGTTTTTACTTAGGGAGGATATTTCTTTCTTGCTTTATTGAGTGATGTACTTAATATTAATTTGATGTCATCAAAGTACTCTGAGCAAAATGTCTAATATAGAAGTAGGAGTTGTGAAATTTTGTTACTAAATATTTGCCTCAAAATAATGTCATAATTTTTTTAATCATCAATATAGAATTTATTAAATATTTACTATGTGCAAGGAGTTGTGCTAATTACTGAATGATACAATTTGAAGATTAGGGAAGAGAGTTAGCAAGATAATATACTTGAATTTGTGTCCAGTGAAGAAAATAACATGTAACTGATCATGAATTTTTTTTTATACAGTCCTAGAGGTGAAAGGGTCCTCATTTATTCAACCATATTCTTTTGCTTCAAGGCAGAGCTGTCTTTTGCTGTCTTTTTATATATATATGGCCAATCACACTTCTTTAAAATCTGATGATGTCAAGTTTTTGCCACCTCCCTTGGATTCCTATTTCAGTTTTAAATTTACCATTACATGAGGACATGAATTCTTTTATATAACCTAAACATCTCTCATTCTAGGTCTTTGTATAAAGATGAAGGACAAAGGGACAACATCTTCTTAACACAGGAATATTTTAGTGTTCGACTCTTCCTTTTTCTCTTCCTGTCTTTACCCTGAGAAGCTTCTGCTCTTTGAGCATTCTCTGTTTGGATAAGGTTATGTCCTAAAATATATCATCCTACAAGGCTATCATTTCATTCTTAGGCATACATGTTGTTTTGAGACTACTCTTGTGTCTATTATGTGATCAATTCTTCCATTTGAATTATTACTTTGGTTTTTTTTTGATTGCCAAGTAAATTGATATCTAGGGTTGTATTTTTTTATACAAATATGTGCATTAATAGTCTAATAGCAAAAGGATTTTAAATAGAAGATTTTAGAACTTGTTTTACTAAGTTGCTCAGTACGGTCTCTTCCTGCACTTGATAATCATAGGTATGTGGCCATAAGTGAAGAATTTTTAGCACTTCGTGATTTAAAATATTGTATATTCATTGAATTGGAAGGGTCCTTGAGAAGACAATCATTCTTTTTGTTACTGTCATGCTTAATGGTCTCTTTTTTGTTAAAAATCTTGGGAGAAGATTTTGGTGATCATTCTTGCTACATTTCATTCTAATTCGTAATGGAACTCATTTTGAGGAGATTCTTCTATATCACCCATGTACCATCTTCAAGGATTTTGGATTCTAATAAGTTTGTAAAAGATTGGTTATAACCTGTTCTCTGTATTCTCTAATCTAATCTATATAGATGTGATTTGAGGAAATAAGCTTAACTTTAAGTAGCATTGTAGATTGTCATCCCTTTGTCTTCTTATTTTAGCATAAAATTTTCTAGTTCCCATGCCACTTCCTAAATACTTTCAGAGCAGTCCCTTCCTATGATTCTCACTCCTGATTCACTTTTTGACTTTTGCTTGCCACCTGCTGGTTGTTGAGGGCATTTATATGTTGTATCAGTGCATGGGTTCATAAATCTGGCAAAAGAGATTTCTATTGTGAAGTTCTTTGGACTTAAACTTATTCTAAATACCAGAAACAAATGGTCAGTCTATGTTTGAGGCCAGAAAATTTTGGGCAGTTTTACAAGGTAGATAGTTTATGCCAAGACTCTCTTTTATTTTCACTTGGACTATAAAGGCTAAGTTTTGTGTTTCAGTGAATTTTTTGATGTTTTTAGAATGATTGTTTTATTTCACTTCTAAGATTGAGCATTATAGTTGCATAGAGGGAATTGAAAAAGTTTAAGTGAAACAAAATATCCAACAAGAGCATAGTCCTTTTCTCATATATGTTGTTAAAGATTGTAATGATTTTATTAAAAACATTTGCTTTTTTTTTTTTGGAATACTGCACAGTTGTGTAGAATTTTATTTATCTGGAATGGTTTATATGGTTTGCTTCTTGCATAGTTCTATTCAGTTCTGTTCACTTTGATGTTCAGAAGGTATTTTGTGTCATCAGTAATTTGAATGTTTCAGTATAATAATGTATATTGTCATGAAATTCCTGTTTTCAGCAGGACTTATGCTTGAGATTTTTGTAGTAGTGATGATAATTTGTCTTGAATCATTTACTTTTTTTCTCTGTCCTGTTGTCTAACAACTATTACTAGGTAGACTAAGACTGGAAGGCCAAGTCTGAAGCTTAGGTGGTGGGAAGGATATATGGGTGAATTCTGTGTTTAAGTTTTTTTCCACCTTTTTATTTAACATTTCAATTAATTAATATGTACTTTCCTTCCAACCCAAATCCCCAATTTAAAGAAATACAAAACACTTGTAAAAATATGCATAGAATGGGGCAGCAGTAGATAGAGTACTGGCCTTGGAGTCAGGAGGACCTGAGTTACCAAAAAAAAATATGCATAGTCAAGCAAAACAAATTTCAACATTGTCCATGTCTAAAAATGTGTGTCTCATTCTGCGTCTTGTATCCATCATCACTTTGTTAAGAGGTAAGTAGCATATATCATCATCAGGACTTTGATATCCTAGTTGTTGCATTGGCTATAATCTTTTCTTTTTTGGGGGAGATCTAGGCAGTGGGGTTAGGTGAGTTGCCTAGGGTCACACAGCTAGTAAGTATTATGTGTCTGAGGCTGGATTTGAACTCAGGTCCTCCTGAATCCAGGGCCAACACTATATCTACCGCATCACCTAGCTGCTCTCGCTGGTTATAATTCTTAAGTCAAACGATAGCAACAACAGTATTTGTATACTTACTTACCTAGCATCTACAGTTTCTTGAATCTATAGTTCTGTTGAAGTGGGATGACCATATCATTTGTTTCTGATTCACTACTAATAAGTTGGCTTTGGGTTGATAAAAATAAGAAAAAAACGATTGGTAGACACAAATATGGAGATATAGTATGTGATAGCTTTCTTACTATGATTGGAGTGGTGTGAATAGATTAGTATAGTTCCTCTTTCTTCTCTCTACGTATTCCATCCAAATGGCACCATATCCTAGTGATCTTAAGCAAATTTAGCCTTGGGATTTGGGCATGGGGCTGGAAGAAACATGGGTGAAGCAAAGCAAAGGCTACAGAGAGTTCTGGAAACCACTTTTTTATCTGCCATAATCAGGAAAATGAATTAAAGATCCCAAAAGATCACACATTGATAGGGAAATACACAGCTGGAGGAGAAAGGAAAAGTCAATGAATACAAATATAAAATGTCACAATGTAATATATGTGAAAGATAAATATTCTGAATGCAAGTATTTTTGGGAAAAGTTTTTTTTAAGCTATGTTTTAGCTTATTTTAAGTAACACCAAGGAAGATGTAGCTTTGGAGTTTTAGATAAGCGTTTGAGTGGGAAAAGGAAGTGTGTTGTTCAAAACTTGTTTTGTAGTTTTTCTTCCTTTTAGCCTACTCTTTAGTAATTAACATGGAACCCAATGTACGCAATATTCATAAGGCTATTTTATGTCTAATTGAGCTATGAATTTGGGTCATGCTTAGTGTAACATGTGGCTTTTCTGGGTTTGATTTTGTTGGTTTGTCTGTAATGTTGACTGTAATTTGAAGTTTTGTAAATGGAGTGATTTATAGACAGTGAAATTATCTCTTAAAGGAACCAGGCCAGTCTTACGATAAAGTAGAAAACCTTTCACTGTGAAATTCTAATAGGTTTGATGAGTTTACATTTTGAATACTTAGATTTCTTAGAGTGAGAGCATATCTGTAGTTTTCTGAATTTATCCTGAAATCTATCTTTTAAGGAGCTGCTAAACAGTAATGTCTTTAGCCAGTTTGAGTTTTATGATCTTTTCTTTCCTTTGTTCTTCTGACAGTCTTCTGAACCTGGAAAATTCATAAACTGTGTA